GGTCGTGTCAGGGCCGTGGCTCGGAGAGAGGCCGCCAAGACTAAGCCGGCGCGGTCACTCCTCTGTGGTATGTCGTTCCTCTGCCAGGGCACACCCAAGCGTTCAGGCCAACCCTCTGGTGTTGCTGTCCTATTTATTGGGATAAAGGAATTAGACAGCAATACTTTGCAATGCTATACTGGGCTAAGACATCCAGGCTGTTATCTCGGGCACACACACCTCTATCTGTGAGCGCAGGCAGCGCCGAGCCCATTCAAAGCTCCCAAACCTGTACCGCCAGAGCAACGCGGCTACTCGATGGTTTACGGTTATTCAGTCAATCACACGCCACAGAACAGAGCAGGGCAGGTGGGCGGTAGAAAGACAGCAGTAAGGTCTCATTCTCTTTGACAGCAATCACAAAACCAGGGGATGAAATGGTTTTGTAAAGATAATACAGGAACGCACTTGCACATATGCTTTAATAAATTTAAACTTTAAGGCCGCCAGAAAGAGAAAGCAAATGTTTCCAGATGCAAGAGTTAAAAGGTACGGGGCAAGCAATGTTGTTCCAACGCTACACACTGTTTTATAAAATATTCTCGTCAGACAAGGTATGGTTGTCCAGGAGAAATTCTGAGAACAAACAAAATTCCACTGCTCCAAAAAATCCCCAGACTTTCTCAAGAGAGCAGTGGATACCCGGATTAGCAATCGTTTGGATACCTGCAGCGCTTGAATCACCTCCTCACAAGACTACGGGCTTGCGGGGGGCGTACCTAAGCAGCCCTACGTTCTCAGCAGACTTGCCTGTGCTGGGAGAGACTCAGAAACGAGAAGATGTTGCTGGCAGCATGTTCCTTCTGTGTGACTTATAAACTCAAACACCCTGTACCAACGCGTTCCTGAGACTCTCGTACAAAGCCAAGCAAGCTGCGCGACGTCCTCGCCTCCCCAGCCACGTAGAAAGGACACACTTGAGCAAGGAGCACAGACAGGGACAAAGCTGGGGGCAGAGGTGCTGAGGACGGGGAACAAACATCGCCTGCATCGCAGACAAACTGCACTTTGTCCTAGAGATAAACGACGAGGGGTCATCCAGGATTTTGCTACTGACGCCACGTTTTGTGCGCGCGCTGACGGGCCGCACACCTTCACAGACACCCGTCTACGCTGCTACAGTCACACAGCTAATCCTGGATTTTCAAACTTTAGGAGAGGAGACAAGCAAGGCTGAGGTGATACGGTATGGTACAACAACTGCACGACCCAGCCTTCTTGAGCAGCAGGTGCATAAAAAGCACTTTATAAACATCAACGTTGGTAGAAGAGAAAAGGACGTTACTGATAGAGGATGAATGCAGATTATTTATCAACACACAGCTGCTTACAGGTATCGTGTAGCTCAACAGTCAACCGTTCAGGTAAGTCAGCCTAGGGCAGAATAAACAGCCACAGGCTCCCCGGTGTTTCTACGCTGCCCAAAGACACTCGCAGAGTCAAGGAGTTTGGCTCGAGATGCTTCTCATCTGTTCCTTTACGCATCTCGCCGTGAGACAAGATTTACAGCAACATGCCGGGATATTCGCCGTTAAAAGGTGTGGAAGAGAGCCAACGCAGTCACAGAAGGGTTTCTGCACACACACTGCACCCTAACGCTGTCCTGGGAACCCACTTCTGGATTCCAGCCGCAGTTCCGTATCACTGCTCAGAGACAAGTTTTCCCCTTGAATTAAATGCCATTTATTTGTGCATATATGTGAGCACTAAGGGTTTATTTAGCACAATGTCAGCGTACAACAATACAAGGAAAGGCTGGGGAAGTGATAGAAGCTAGGGAAAATTCTTACTTTCACCCTAGATTCCCATCGTAGAAGCAAAAAAAAAAAAATATCAAACTCCATGGGAACAGCAGCCAGGTCAAGAACTACACAAGCTTTCCAGATTTGCATTAAAATTGCCTTCTCCACAGAAAACCCAGGCTATTAATAACCATCTCATCCCTCTATCAGGGCTATTAGGTCTTGGCCAAATTCTTTGCTACTTCCTGCTCCTCCCTTCCCCGTCTACCCACACAGCAGAAGGGATGTCAACACAGCAAACCACTCACCTCCGAGGTTAACACTGCTGAGCTTCACCAGGAGTTCCCTTGTCTAACTCGGAGACTTTGGCTCTGAAAAGCTTAAGAGCCTTTTTCAGTGTTTCCTGAACTGCTCTCGCATTTGTTCAAGAAATACTGGCCAATGACTCAGCAGAACCAGGCTGCAAAAACGACTCTTCCAGCAGCAGCCACTGCTCTGCGGTGCATTTTGGCCATTTCAGAACTGGCTCCAACCACAAGCCCTCACGTGAACCGGGGGGAACAGCAGCAGCACAGTTGACGTCTTGCAGGCACAACGACCCGAGCTAAGTTTTCTCATGCAGCCCTAAGGATGGGCTTTTTCCTTCTCCAAGGAGCTGCTGGGCAACATGAAAAACCAAACCCAAACCCAAACCCCACAAACAAGCCGCCCGCGTGGCTAAGCGGTGACCGAGCAGCCGTCGTCCTCCCGCAGGAGGACAGCACGGGTCACACCTGCGGGGTCTCTCTTCAGCAATCCGCACAATCTAAAATAAGCAAAGGTAATCTACACGTTCCCTTGAAACAACACACATTCTTGTTGTTAACACCCTGCGACTCAGAACTGGACATGACGATGAGGAAACACGCTGGGCTGACAGGAAATTTGGATGCAACCCAGCCAGCCAGCTCCAGACCCTGCCTCAGGAACGGAGGAACACTGGAGAGAGGGCATCCTCTTGGAATTGTTCCAAAGCACCAAACCCTTAGAAAATATCTGCTGCTCTGGCCAGATTCAGTTTATCTGGTGAAAGAAAGCAGAGAAGAGTTAAGCAGCAGCAGTACTACTAGAATAATGTTTTTCCCAGTTCTGCCTTAACGGAACAAAAGGCACAAAGCCGGGACGTGCATTTTCACATCTAACAGAACAGGATTTCTGCCTGGCTCACAGCTGACTGCTGTGCTCTTACGCTGGTCTTTTTTCTCTGCAGTTGACAGTAAGAAAATAATCCACACCGCTAACTTGATCATCAAGCAGTGCTCACAGGTGAGGGCAGACCGAGTATTCCAGACCAGAATTAAAACAAGTCTGGTACCGCAGCAGACTGAAGTGCTTCACTGCAAAGTAACTCCCTACGTTCAGGACTTTGCCCAGGCAGTTCAGCACTGGACAATTTAGCTAAAACAAATTGAGGTTAGAGCATTTTTCAGGTTTCAACCTCTTAATCCACTCAGGGTTTTCTAGGACTCCTCACTTTCCCACTGTCACTCTAATTAGATTAGGGTCAAGACTCTCATGAAATCCCTGGATGCTGCGGGCCCTGAGGTGAGCTAGCTTAGACCTTTAGCCTTCTAAAATTATCCACACCAATTTATGTCAGCGATCCACCGGTCAGGTTAAATTTTGCTCCGTGCTCATTTTATGCCAACGGGCTGGCCAGGAGGGGAGAAACCAGAGCTTCGCCGCCAACCCGCCGGTCCCCCGCATGCCCTGCCGCTTCCTCGCCCCAAGCAGAACCCAAGCTCCCAAGGAATAAACCAACGTGGGGCTTGAAGGTCAGATGGCAAAGCCAGGGCCAACGAGTGGATGTGCTGAGAACGGGCTAGCAGGCGGCAGGAGGTGGCAGGGAGCAAAAGCCGCTTACGCCAGGAGAGAATTGAAAACTGCTTGACCTGCCCGTGAACCGATAAGGAAAAGATGAACTCCTGCAGCCCGGGCCCCTTCACCCTGCCACACGTAAGCTGTTTAGCAGCCCTACGTCACGCTGAGAGTAAACCTTCTTCGGGAAACCAGCAGAGACCACCACTGCCGCAGAAAATCCAGGCTTGAGGTTGGGGTCTGGCTGGCAGACAAAAAGCGAGGGGCAGGCAGCCCCCAAAGAACCAACGCCCCTTTTCCCCAAGACATCATGAACCCCAGCACGGGGGAACAGGGACGGGGTGCCCCTTTGGGGAAACAACCAGAGCCAGAGCTGACGCGGACCTCGAATTCACCGTTCGGAGTCACCGAGGCAGACGCTGCCCAAAGAGGAGCTGGGAGCGGCGGTGAATGGAGCTCCACTTGTTGCTGGTTTGGCTCGTTTTTAGCTGCGTAAAGGCACATTCACCTACAAAGGTGTAAGCTCCCAGAAACTCAGCTGGCAGGAGACAAGGCTGAAGCAGGTAAGCAGTATCAGGACAAGGATTTGTGACCCATCAGCTGATCTCTCCACCCACGTGCTGCAGGACAGCTTTGTTTAGAGCCCTGCTCTCAGGGAAACGCAGGACAAACATCACTGTCACCAGCATCGTGGCAGGGCAGGACGTGACACGACAGCCGAATCACGGCCACGTTTAAAGGAGAGGTTTCTGAGGACAGCCCTCCAGAGCGCTTCACACCTCCACCCCATCCTCAGACGAAAGCATTACTGGAGTTGCACATTTCTGTACCTTGGGGTGTGACCAAGGCTGCTGCTCACCCCTATTGTATCCTCCTACTCTTTATTTTGCTCAAGCACAGCTGTCCACTTTGCAACCACACACATGAGACACCGATGCCATCTGCAGAATGAACAAACCGGAGAACAAGACAGTACAGAGTAGCACTGCTTACACACACGAGTCTTTGTCTTGTAGACAGTGACACTCATTTACAGGAGATTCCTGCAGATAAACGCATCCAAGTTTCTCTTTCAAAGGCTGCACTGTCAATCCCCACTAATTAATTTTCACAGTATGCTAACAGTGAATTCCAACTCTCAAACCCATTACTTATGAACTTTAACATTTATAAACTCAGTCTCCTGATTTCTCCTAGGTTCCACGCAACGCTGAGCCCTCGCTCCGTCCTACAGCAGGTTAGGATGATAAGCGCTACCAAGGCACAAAAGACAAAAACATTCCTGCAGGGCAGAAGCGTCCGTGCTGCTGAGAACTCAGGCACGCTGCGGCTTGTCCCGATGAAATTCCCCACCTGGCGCAGGCCCTTCCCTCCTGCTTAGCCCAAATCCTTCTCCAGTTGTCCAGTAATACTCCTCAACACCAGCTGCCTCCCACGGACCGAGATGTGCTTATCGGCCCCGCTCAGGATCATCCCGCTTTGACCGATCTGCCAGAAAGCTCACCCATGCCCTAACCAAGGTCCTGCTCCTTGGGAGCTCGGTGACCACACGCCTCTGCCCCTCAAGTCCATGCAAAACGTCAGTTAAATGCCACCCCCCCAGCCTTTTCTCCCTACCAGATTCCCTGCGTCCCCCATGCCACACAAACCCCTTGCCTCACAGGCCAGTCAAACTGTCCCCAGCCTACCTGCGTCTTGTCACCTCACCAGCAGCACCTGCAACACCAGCACCTACTTGCTCCCATCAGAAAAGGAATCCCCCTCAGAAAATCCAGAGAGACCTTCTTTCCCCTCGCTCTTCAAATCGCCCTTTTGCTGCAACACATCCGTACCAGTGGTTCAGGGCAAGTGCTGGGTGAAGACAACTGCTCTCACCTGCAAAGAGCCGTGCAAACTCCTCCGGGCTGAGGCACCCTATTGTGTTTGTCACTCCATCCCGCTCCGCCCGCAGGCTGCTTGTCTCTCCCAGGTACTGGTGCTGTTTTTTTTACACAGCAATCTCTGTACAGGAGGGACAATCATTTGCCTGTACACAGGCTCAAAACCAAAAATACCCACATTATTAGCAAGGAAGGCTCTAGAAGCCACACATCTTGCTTTTAGGTGAGTAACACTGGAATAACAGAAACTGCATCAGACTGGAGATACCGTTACAGAGAACGGAGGAGGCAGTGCAGTCAGAAGAGAAGAGAGTCAGACTTCTTTTTCTATTCATTTTATTTCACAAGTGAGCTAGAAGCAGCTTCCTGTGTCACAGCTCCTCTCCCCAGACTTTTTATTGCCACTGAGCGTTGACACTACTACACCGTTTCTTGCAGCCTAAGAATTCTGTTTCTGTTAACAATTCAGGCTGCCACCTGCAACTCCCTTCACCGCTTCAGCCCAGCGCCTCAGATCAAGGCGCTGACAAACACAACTTACTCCACGAAGCCACACGGTGCCAGCCGAGGCACCAGCACCCCCCCCTGCCCCCGTCACGCCACTCCTGCGCTGGGAAAGGCAAACTTCCAAAGGTTCCCACGCGTGTGCGCATGGAAGGGCAGCAGCGGGAGAGGGCGGAGGTGTCCACCGAGATCCACTCAGTCTGATCTGCTGGGCCTTTGCCAACAGGACCATCCTGCCAGGTGCCGAACGTCTGTCTGGTAAGGACGAGGAGCAGGACAGAGTCTGCCCAAGTGTAACTGGCGCAGAGGAACTAACTGGGTTTTTTTTTCAAACTGAACACTTTAGAGGGGCATAATCCTGTTCTACACATGAGCCTACACTGGCCATTTATCTTCATTAAGGACTCGTTTAGTCCTGTAATTCTTCCATCTACAAACCAGGCAACCAGCAAATTAATTTAGCATTTTAAAAAAACAAAACCTAATAATATTTAGCATTAACTGCTGCTGTCATGGACCTTTGATCTGCTTCTGTTCGCCTATGGCTTCACAAGTGACCCAATCCAAGCTCATGATTTATGAGCATAGCAGCAAAACCAGCTACCGGCTGCAAATAACACCACACACCACCGTCTCCCCGCTCACAGACTGGAAGAAGGCTTACCGAAGCAGCAGCTCTTTTGGAAGTTTTTTGTTGATCACAGCTTCATCATTGTTTGAGAACATCTGTAAACAAAAACAATTTAAACAATTTAGCCATGTATTTTCATTAAGGAAACAAAACCTACTTTACTCTAGCGAAGAAGCTGCGGGTGAACGAGGCCCTTTCGAGAGAGACATCTGGCCCAATAAATTCTCAAGAGGGAAACTTTGTGCTCAAGCTTTCAAACTCCTGGAGCGGACCACGGCTGGGTAGAATATTACATCCAATATAGCTTAAAAAATGGTCCAAGAATGCTCTGTGGATTGACAGATTAAATATAAACCGATATTTTAATTTATTTATTAAAGTAAACGATAATTAGGGCCCACTTGTCGGCTGGCACTGGCATCACCTACAGCATTGCTACGGGCTTCCAGCTGCGTCCCGGGCCCGTGAAGGTGCAGCAGAGCCCAGGCACTTGGCAACCACCAAGTGTAACCAGGGATCAAGCGGGCACACGGCAAACGGGCTGGAGGGAAGCGCTGCGACGACCGAGCGGCCCTGGCATCCAGCAAGGGGAGGTGGGAGACGCAGGCGCGGCAGGACTGGTTCCCCTAACGGGGAGGGCGCTGAGCGCGGGCGGACAGGAGCCCGACGAGGAAGCGTGACGGTGCCCGAATCGTTCTTGCAGCAAACGGTCCGAGAGGAGCCCGGAGGAGTGTTTATTTATTTTTTTTTTAAAATCACAAAGCGTGGTTTAAAGGGAGACGTGATCTTTGGTGCTGCATCAGAGGGCGAGATGACTCTGGGAGCACACCGTGTTCTCCCAAGGCGAGGAAGCCAGAGCTGTTTGTTGTATCCCACCCAAAGCCTTATCGCAGCGGTCAACCATTCACACATCTGAAATGGACTTCTGCACCAGCTGAAATAACCTCACTAGCCGGAACAAGGAGAGAAACTTCTCTTTTCAAACGAGTCCTGAGAAAAACAGACAGCAAAGCCCCACGTGTGTCTTGAGGAGTAGCTACACGTATTTAAAAGACTTGCTACTGCCTTGCCATGGTGAAAAAAAACACCCAACCAACCAACCTCCACATGCTTATGCCTGTGGGAGGAATGATTAGTGTGATCTGTGAACTGCTGAGCAGCGATGCCTCAGTCCCTTTCGAAGCACGCTTTCAACATTTCCAGAAGCAAAGCGGCGAACAAGGAGAAGGAGCTTTAATTTCATTAATAAAGTTTCTCTCTAATCTCCTGGAACAACTAAGAGCTGATCTGCCTTGAGCTGCGTACCTGGCAAAAACTGCAGCTGAAATTACAGTCTGAAAAAGCTGATTCTAATCGGTCGATGAAGTGGTCTGAATCAATTTAGTTGTGTGTATGCAAAGCAAATAAAACCAGCATCAGCTAGGTCACTTAACTGGCAGAGGATCAGATTAAGAGTTAAAAAAGGAAAGTAAGATCTCGGTGGCTTATGAAGCTGTATGCCAGGCCCTGCTGACAGACAACAGCTCCTCCAAGCAGCAAACATTCCGTACCTGAGCATCAACCCAACCCCACCACCTACCCAAGAAAGAACACAGCTCGCCGCGGAGAGCTAACGTGCTGCTGCCAAGTAGCTTTTTCACACGCTCCTGACAACCACCTGACAACAGAATAACGCCACCGTTACGAGAGAACGCTAAAGACAATGCTTGTGGAGTCAAACTCAAAAGCTGTGTTTCTAAACCACAGTTTGCTTTTTCATCATCTCAAGATACTGAAGCACGATGCTCAAGTGGGGCGCGAACTCTCCAGCGTTCCTTCCCAAAATGTCACCCAGAAGAAAAGCGTTGTTTTCCCCCCACAGACGCTTTCCTCACTTCCCACCAGAAGATATCACAAGTTAGCAAGTCCTAAACGGTCCACTAGACAGGCAACCACTCAGCCCATTTTGCAGACAGTTAAGATGGAAGCTTGGCCGTTTCCCCAGCTAGCACCGATTCCGCGAAGGCCGTTCCCTCAGCGACGAGGGCAGAGCAGCACCTCCTCGAGTCAAGGCCCGCGTGCAGGCTGGGTCAGGAACGCTCTCTGACGCCTGGCGGAGAGCTGCGGAGCGCAGCGGGTCGGGACAGACACCGGCGAGGCTGGGCAAGGAGCTAACGCATGCGCATGGTCCGGGACCGGATCATCTAATTAGACGGCTTAGCTGGGAAACTACGGAAGTTCTGGGGAAAGCTCTGATGAAGGAGAAATGCAGAGGAATTATCCACGGGAAAACGAGACTATGATTTTTCTTCCCTCAGTTCCAAGAACAACAGTAACCAGGCAGATCCATCCTCTTCCCCCTTATTGTCCAGGGCAGAATTTTACATCTGAACCAGCACCCTCCACCCCCCTCACCAGAAAAGGGTGAGAGAAATTAAAGGAGCAAATCAGAAAGCAGCAGGAGACTTCCAAAAAGGAACCAGGCTAGAAGGGAACAGGCAAGGGGCAGGAAGGATTAAAATAGAGACTCCAGAAGCAGCCGGCCGGCCTTTTCTGTCTCCCCCGCATCAGCCACGAGGCTCTGTCCGAATTCACACGCAGGCAACAGGCACCGCCCGGTGTCACCTGCGGCTGTACATCGAGGACACTCACAAAAGCTCTGTGCAAAACGCAGGGAACTGCCTGATTTCTGCCCACTGCACTGCTCAGCAGAAAAAGCTCACGTTGCCTCCAGTGCAAACCACAGCCTTTAAACTGGTTTTCCGTAGAAGCTACCCTCTGCCCGGTACTATGCTAAAGGAATGCTTGGTTTTCCTCTTCCTAAAGAAGTCCTTGGACTTGAACGGGACAGGGCCGAGGCAGGATGTGCTCTGTGGGAAAACCTCAGCTCTGGAATTCCCCCTCCGCTGGAAAGCAGTGAAGTGCCGGGGTACGTCACCAGACCCCTTTTCCTGAGCCTCCCTTCAAAACTTGGTGCTCAAATGACAGAGGCTGGGTGGAATCAGGCTGGGATTGGGAGCCGTGGCTAAGGCCCGGCAGCCCGTCTAGCTCGTTAAATACACCAAGGGACATTGTGACTTCCTGGCAAGGCTACAGAAGAATAAAACTAGTCTGAAAATACGTTAGTACTTCTAGGGATAAAATCTAAGCGACCCAAGTTTGCTTTTCCTAACATCTCTCTTAACCCCCTTCAACACCAGGTGTTATTCAGCAGAATAACTTATTCTTGACAGGGTACAGAACGTATCTTTCTTGTATGTAAATTCTGCAGTCTGTAAAAACCAGCATCTTCCACAAAGCATCAAGTTTGCTGGTGTGTGAAGCCACATCCCTTACACAGAAAAAAAAACGGAAAGGGGAAGAGGACGAAATTCCTCTTGTTCTTCCACCCATCGAGATGAAGGCAGGCCAGCAGTGCACAACTCTCTTTCGAAACAGCCTTTTCTCTCTAGAACAGAAGGGATAAGTCTAGAACTAACACCAGGGAAGCAGGTATTAGAATTCAGAACTTGCTTTAAATTAGTACAAGTTGCTCCAATCTGCTACAAGGCGAAGGAAAACGTGCCCTGCAAAAACACCAGGGCTGGACCAAGTCTACAAAGAGCACTGCGTTGCCCAGTTATGTTACTATAAATCTCTTACTGGTCTTCAGAGCAGCGTCTACAGACAGTGGAAGTGATGGCTTTGCTGCCCTGGGCAGCCGGAGCTCTGCAGTGCCAGAGCGCCCACAGGATCTGGTCACTGCTCAGTTAAGACGATTTCATCTTCCTGCGAATACCGTACTGCCCAGCTCTTCTACCAAAGCTAGGAAACGGGCAGAGCCTGCAGAGTTTTCCAGGGCATGTCTGCTAGCTTTTTACAACCCACGAGATATTTTGGATGTACACCCTTCAGCAGCACTGCCCAGGGAAATCCTTCCCCCATTCCAACAGGAGCTCAAAAGGGAGAACAGCCAACTCTAACTGCAACTCCAGGGGCCAGCCCCAACTTTGCAATCCCAAAGAAATGACAAGACCGGGGGGCTTAATCCATAAATCCACCCTTTACCTCACAAACCAATTAAAGTGTTCATACGCTCTTTTACATTTACTCTTCACCAAAAGGGGAATTGCCACTATTTGGCTCCCAGTTCAGAGCAGCCCGGGGCAGCCAGCACCCAGAGGGGCCTGTTTTGCCCCGTTGGTTTAAGCGCAGACGGCCAGAGGAGCTACCGGCGAGGACAGGGATGATGCAGCCTCCAGTCCTCTGCAGGAACTCGGAGGTGCCCCTCAATTCTTTTTTTCTTTCCTGCACGCTGACCGAAAGCCTGGAGATTATAACCCAGAAGACAAAGTCCTGGTGCTTCCCAGGATGTATTCCCAGGCGCTGCTGTGCTCCTCTCCGGAGCGCTGTCACCCAGCAGCACTCCAGTCAAGCAAGTTTATGAAAACAAATGGATAAAAGCGAACGAACGATACGGTTCTTGCAGCCTTCCACCGAAATCACTTAGCACAACATGTAATTGTCCCTTCGTTGCAGTAACTCCTCCCTTGCCTTGCAGAATATTAAACGTTTCGCAAACTGGCTCCATCCACCCGGTGGCCCAGACCCGCAGCAGCCCGCAAGCGCGCTCTG